AAACTAATAGTCATGGAAATAAAAATGCTAGAAAGTTAATTTTCGTGTTCGGTTACATGTGTGAGCCACTGTATATGTTTAATCGATTTCGATGTGTAATTAACATTAAGTTTTCCACATCTAAAAATAGACATTTAGATGGAACTGATATTGATCGATATGGAAGGAATTGTCAAATATTTGTGTATATACGAGTTGTGAAAGAATTTGATATAGGGATAGGAATCGATTTTCAATCCAAAATCGATTCTCGAGCACGTACGTATATATATATATCGATATATAACGATGATGTGATGCGACGACGACAGCAATAACGATGGTAACGGCAATGATATAACTGGTCTTTGATTTTGTTTAATTGCATGTTTATTTTTTCCCTTTTCGTTGGAATAGTTGAAGTTGTACTTTGATTAGCTGAAATTATAATTTGATTAGTTGATTGAGATACCGATCAATATTGGTAATGGTTTTCTTGGTTATTCACATTTTTTGTTAAATGATAGAGTAGTTTATCGTAAGTAAAAGCATGATTTTCCAATTACTGTACATTTATTTACACAATTTATGCATTATTAATCAATTTTTGTCTTTAAAATTGATTCTCAAATTTTTTAATTGATTCTTAAATTTTAATTGATTCTTAAATTTTAATTGATTCTCAAATATTAATCGATTCTAAGAATCGATTTCCTCAATTTTACAAAATTAATCGATTTCTATCCCTATATTTGATGACTTTAGATATACCATAGAACTTGGAGAAAAATTAGTAAATGTAAATTTTTATTGGTTATTTAATTTTGGTTATATAATAAAGTTTGCAGCTCTGGTTGATTCTATTTTTCAAGATTATTACATGTAATAAACTGTTATATTTAAATTTATCTTATTAAAGATATTAAAAATATAAAAAATAATTATTAATTTATAATTTAATTTATAATAAAACTTATTTTAATATTGAATATTTATCTATATAGTGGCAATCAAAAATAATACAATGCAAAAAAAAATTATTATAAAAATATTAAAAATGTGAATTTTTTCTTTATAAAAAAGTTTTTAATTTTACTAATAAATAATTTTTATATTTTTCTCAAAATAAAGATAATATTACATATTTTAACATATATTTTTTTTCAAATTTTTTAGATTTAATTTGATAGAGTTATTCTATTTGCACACTGACCTATAATAAATCATTATATATATATATATATGATAGTAAAATCTAGTAAAAATTGAAATTTTTGCTTTATAAAAAGTTTTTATTTTAATTAATAAATATTTATTGTTTTTATATCAAAATAAAGCTAAGGATATATAATTTAACATATATTTTTTTGTAATTTTTTAAATTTTATTTCGTGAAATTTTACTGGTTGTAAAATATTTGCAAAAATTTTGTATAATTAAATTTAAATTTTAATTATAAAATTTTTGTGGATATTTTATAATCAAAAGAATTTCACAAAATAAAATCTATAAAAAATATATAATCAAATTTCTTTATAATTATAACTTACAAAAAAGCAAAATTGAATAATTAAAAAAGAATTTTTTATTATATTTATATATAAATAGAAAATCAAAATAGATTAAATATAAAGAAATATAACTATAAATAGATATAAATATAGAGAGATTTTATAAATTCTTAGCTTTAATTTGATATAAAAACAAAAAATACCATTAATTAAAATAAAAATTTCTTTATAAAATGAAATTTTGATTTTACTAAATTTTAATATCAAAATTTCTATATGTATAATAATTTATTATAGATTAATATATATTTTTTTATAGTAAAAATATATAAAAAAAATTTATTAATTTTATATAGAATTAGAAAAAATATATATTAAAACTTTTATATAAAGAAAAAACATTTTTCAAATTTTATTATATTTATTAATAATTAAAAATAATATAATAATTTCAAAATTTATTAATAAATATAATAAAATATAAATTTTTTTCTTTATATAAAAGTTTTTTTTATATTAAAATAAAGTTATATTTTAATATTTATTTTTTCAGATTTTTAAGATTTATAATTAAAAATATTTATTAGTAAAATTAAAAACTTTTATATAAAAAGAAAAGTCTGTATTTTACTATATTTAGTTAATAAATTTTAATATTGTTATATTATTTTTAATTACTATTATATATATTAAATAATATAATAATATTAAATTTATAAAATTCAAAAAAATTATATATATAATTTTATAATTCAGTTAGTTATTATATATAGTGACAATTAGAAATAATATAATAACATTAAAATTTATTAATTAAATATAGTAAATACAGATTTTTCTCATTATATAACATTTTTTAATTTTATTAATAAATATTTTTTATTTTTATATTAAAATAAAGATAATATTATATATTTTAACATATATTTTTTAGATTTAATCTGATAAAGCTGTTTTAATTGCATATAAAGTTAATTATTTTTTATAATTAAAATATATAAAAAAATAATTGATTTTATATACAATTAAAATAATTTTATCAATTAAATCTAAAAAATCTAAAAAAAATATATGTTAAAATATGTGATATTATCTTTATTTTAATGTAAAAATAAAAATATTTATTAATAAAATTGAAAGCTTTTATATAAAGAAAAAAATTCATATTTTACTATATTTAATTAATAAATTTTGATATTATTATATTATTTCCAATTGTTATTATATATATTTTTTAGATATTTTATATTTAATTTGATAAAGTTATTTTAATTGTATATAAACTTAATAATTTTTTATAGTTTTATTATAAAAAAGTTATTGTTATTAGAATACTTTTTCAGATTAAATCTAAAAATTTATATTAAAATATATAATATTATCTTTAATTTAATATAAAAATAAAAAATTTTATTATATTTATTAATAATTTTTTTGTATTATATTATTTTTAATTGCAATTTTATATATAATAGCAATCAAAAATAATATAAAAATGTCAAAATTTATTAATTAAGCATAATAAAATGTGAATTTTTCTTTTTACAAAGATCTTTCAGAATATTATAAACACTTTTTAAAATATAATAATGCAAAAATCAATAAAAAACAAGATTTATAATTCTAAGCTAATAGAATTATTAAAATATATTGTATATTATATCAAAATTTTAAGTGATTTCAATAACTAGTTCAAAAAATATATATAAATATATATAAAATAAAATTTAGTATCAA